TCAGCATACAAGCAATGCACTTGTCTCATTGTAACTAAAACAAAATATATTGAAAAGCTTGATCTATTTCATAGTATCGGCAGGAGCTAATTAGAGTGCTTGAACCGCTGAACAGAGGTTTTTGCAAGGGACTGACAAAACCAGTTTGAGAAAAGTAATCTCCTCTTTTTGGATTGCGCTTGGTACAGTGTGTGAAAATATTTTGGACTTTATTACTGTAACTTTACAAAAATGTTGACTCGAAACGCTAGAGATCCGAAAAATATTCTTAAGACTGACACTGGCTCTCATTCTTGTGTCGCGTATACCGTTTTCAGCTATGCTTTGCGTGGACCAAGGTTTTTCAAGTTCCTTCTAAAAGATCCCGTAAACCAAATATATAGGATATTCGTGTAATATGAACCGCACTTTATCTGAAACTTGAATTTCCTGCAGTTACTGGTTTCTCAGGTCTTTAGGTCTAAACTATGTGAAAAAAAACTTTACCTAGTCATAAATCACTCATACCTGATTTCCACTTTACATGCTAGCGGAGCAAGTGGGTTATCAGACTAAGCGACATATAAACTGAGTAAGAAGCTTCAAAAATTAACAAACGTTTTTTCCATTCCGGCACAGCTCCAACCCAAAATAATTTTGTACTCGTAGATAAGGTTGAAAATACTGTCTGAGCAAAGTTTGAGGTCATCTTATTTCATATTTACGAAAAAATGAACGTCTCCTGTTAAACCATCGGCGGTTCCATGACGTCAAATCAGAGCAGGGGGAAAGTTGCTCAGGAAGTCGAAAAACTTACACTATAGTTGAGCTTATGGTCATTTGCGATCTTCCTCCATAGCGGTAAAGTACGTATGTCCGACAATCACCACCACATCATAGACCCTATATTGACTCTGCGCCACAGCCTTAGCAGGACCTGCTTATTTTTACAAAAATGCAAGGGCTTTGGTATAAGCTGTTATCGTCGTTTCCGCGCTTTCTAAGATGGATGCTCGGATGAAGCGCAGCGGATGAGACCTGATAAACGAACAAAAAGGGAATTTCTGTTTGAATCCTGCTACTGAGCATGCCCATACAATGAAGGTGGACGCCTTGGTGGAGCAACCCGAAGGTGTAAGGAGCTGAGAAATCTTTAGAGAACACCTGCAATGTATAATATTAGGTTAAATCCAAAGTTCTCTCGCGCCATTTTCAAAAAATCGTAACTCTTGATGCCAGAACAGCCTCGATGGAATTGCACTTATAATAAAAGAAAGTAAATTATGCATTTTATACTGACACCTTGCTTACCTTCAATGAGCTCTGATTGCAGAGAAAAGAATGGAAAAAAAAACCGCTTGAAGTCCGGTAAATAGCAAGCTCATTAACAGCAGAAAACTATGCAATAGAATCTGAAACAGTTATAAACACAAGATTTCTGACTTTTCTTTAACTGAGCAGAATCTGTACTGATCGAGCTCTTCTTTGAGAATGAGTTTTGAGAAAATAGAAGAAAAGAGAATTAATTTCGAACTTTTTTTCAATTATAACTTATCGCAAAAAGCTTATATCACCAAAACTTTAGTGTTTCCTTTGTGATTTTCTCTGCTATCAGAGCTTACTAGGAGTGAACAAGGCTTCCATGCTCCAACATCTACTCTTTTTAGTCATATTAGTGTCATAAAAAATATCATAAAAGAAAGAAGTTACGATTTTTTGATCCGGCAGTTGTACATCTTCAATTGTACGCATGCATTACATTCGAAAAAATAAGATTTGTAGAAAATACCCAGAAATTTTCTTTTCAACCTGATACATAAACAATGAGGAGGAACTTGGAATAGAGCTCTTGGACACTTTGCAGGGCTCGAGCAGGTAAGACAGGAGGTCCTAAAACAGTCCAAAGTAGGAAAATGGCTATGTTGAGGGACCGCAGCTAGCATCTTATTCGCTACGGGCTCATTAGAATATATGTAGGCATGTGAGCGATCCTTTTATAATAATAGAAAGAAAGATTAATGGAGCGATGTCGCTTTCAAAACTCTAAATTCATTGTAATTCAAAAATTCTTCTTAACAGCTTGCCACATTCGCAAATACTGAGTGGAAGACAATATGCTAATTTAATAGAGTGACGTGGCAGACATTTGAGACAGACATCATAATTTATAACAAGTATTGCGATATGTACAGCATTTGCTAAACGATAAAGTGGCAAGTAACGCATTAAAATTCATGTATTTTATAGCATTACGAGAAGTAAAGAATTCAGGCAGCTATTAGTGCACTAAATTTACAATGTATTTTTCTACAAGTGAAGGCATCTAAGACCAAGTGTTCGGATGAGAGAAGAAGTTATTTCTGGCAACACTAATCACCAAAGATTTTGGGTTTATCGATTAATTTTTAGTAATAGTTATGAACTAGCTGGTCACTCGGCTTCGCACGATCCCTATTAACTTAATGCGAAATGATTCACCGTTAAGTTTCACTTATACACAACATTTTCTTGTCCATGTCGATTCTATAAGCCGGCTTTCTTACAGAAAGCTTCTTTGTAATAATTTCTCCCTTCCCATCTTTGTAATAATCACGAAAGCTCCGCAGAGGTGGCGTTTTCACAGGCTGGATGTCGTATTTCTTAGAAAAAAAGCAAAAGGAAACTCGTAATGTTCCGAGGGGTGATTTGCGGAAATCTGATGCAATGCTATCAAGCACAAGGCTAACCCTTATTAAGCCCTTATTTCAACTCCGAAGTCGTTTCACCAGTTTAACAGGTAGATTGACACTTACAAACATGACAAGTGTTTAGACCTGTGTGCACATGATATCAATGTGTTAAAACACAATCTTTATGCGCAGAAAAATAGATATTTAGTCCGTTTACAACCGGTACGCAATGTTGAGCCACAAAATTTGGTGTGTATCTCCGCAGCAACGATGAAAAGGAAAGTTTGAAAAGTTATGAAAAAGTTATGTGAATGAAGGGAGCTGTGAGTGTTTTCCAATTTAGGTTGCTCCCGCGCAACCTAGGATGACCGTGAGGTTGCGCGGAGCCAAACAAAGTCTAATTTTTTCCCTTCTTCACATAATTTTTCAAAATTCTTCACATGAGTCTATTCTTCAGTTTATACTCTACCTATGAATACTTACCATAACCCAAATTTTGTCTCTTGTGTTTTGCTACGCCTTCGAATTATTTAAAAACCGCCTTTCTTCACGTGTTCCTGTTTTATCTCCGATTTTCCTTGCTTATTTTCAACTTCCGTTAACTCATCGTTTGCTGCAGATTATTGGCCGTGCTTTTTACAATTGCCACAAAAGGTACTTCGTAATCTTCTGCAGTGTCAAAGGGGACTTCGTTTTCAAAAATTTGAAGGACCCGTCATACTTCGAAAAAGGCCCAAAAGAGCCCGAAAAAGCCCAAAAAAGCCGAAAAAGCCCAAAAGCGCCAGAGCGCCAAAAAGAGCCGGAACGCCCCCTTCCGTTTTGACGCTAAGGCATGGTGTTGATTTCGCAACCGAGTCTTTTTGCTTCATTTTCTGTAGTCTGCAATCAAAATATCGTCAGAATACTACCATAATTTTGTTTCTGCGTTCCGGCTCCTTCGGACTTTTTCGGGCGCTCACTCACTCATCTGCATCCCTTAACTCAGAGAAATTGTTATTCAGTGATAAAATTAAAACCTAAAACGCGACATCTGCCCCGCCACGTAAGGAGGCCGCGGGCATACTTCACGCGATCTCAATCGCGACACCTGGCATTTTGCCAAATGTTTATGCAGCACACCTGCAGATTAGAAATGGATGGTATGTATAACTTTGCAGATTGATGGAATGCTCTACATTTTCGTACATTCGAAGTGCGCTTACAATGAGTTAGAAACATTCGGAATATTGCATAGCGTGGCGACTGAAAGCGCGTGAAGTATGTCCGGGCCCTAAACGCTAATGCAGCACAAAGGCGCAGAAGCAGTTAAGCGCGAACGCGACGCTTATCTTCACCGTTGCAAATCCTGTGCCTATGCGTTCTGCAGCTAAAAGCCGCGTTTGCATTTAAAGTTATTGCGCCTTCGTCATGCCTCAGTGTATATATCCAAAGCTTAAACCGGATCGGTTTAAAAGTGTTTTTTGAATTTGGAACATACGTACAACACTTTATAAAAATTTCAGATCACCAAAATATTCACTACTTCCGCTGTCGCTTTTAGCCTCAAGTTGTACGTTAAAGTGTCTAACATATACAAACGGGTACAAAAAAGTCTTTTTGTGTTTTAAGTCCTTTCATTAACGTGTTTCTTGACCTTGACTGTTGCTTAACACTTGAGATGCAAAAATAGGATTCTTTACAATCAAACTAGTCTTCATGATCAAATAACACGAAAGCTAACACAAAATTTTCCTTATCTATACAGTCTGTCCCAATGTCAGTCAGGCCAAGATTGGCATGGCAGGAATATGTGACGCGGAGGTTGCTTAACGTTGCTGGTTGCGGCTTGCTTGTCTGCTCCCTATTCAATCTTTTCGCTTTCTCTGACAGTGCGCACATGCAACGCAAACCCTTTAGCGCTGAGTACGCGCAAATCAGCGCAAGCCAGCGCTTCGGCCTGATCCCGATTGATACAGACGCAAAAGGCGAAGGACGAACTTTGGACTGGTTTTCAACTCCATTCTTTGATGGTCGCGGAGTGAAGTTGCTCACAAGAAGAATCAATAGTATCTCTAAATAATTCCATGTTTCCTCTTTTATGAACTCAGCATAGTGAGGTCTCTGGTGGGGTAGGACATAAAATTATTGATCTCTTACCACTCAAGGCTTCTGAGGATGACGATCCAATTGATGATAATGAAGTACTTTCATGATGACCCCGAATCCGTCAAACTTGTTGAGACAATGCTCTTAAACGCGGGGACGGGCAAATTTTAACACAACTTGCACTAGTTTTAATCGGATTGCTGTTTTTGTTGCTATCGATGCATTTGAACAACATAAAACAAAATTTATTAACTGCGCTTGCTTTCCAACAGATACAGACTTATTTGAAGTTCTCAGATTGCACTGATAATCTTCGTCAATCCTGACAATAGAAGTAGCTGAGCCACACAGAACCAGGACACTAGAATTAAAATACTCATTAGATCAATTAAGCTCTTCTCATTCATTCAAAACACGACTTACAATACGTCGAACTTGCATTCTCTGCTGTTGTGGATAACACAGTGGAAGTTTCGTTGACTACAACACGAGATAACGCTCATTTATTCTTACAAGAAAGACAATATTCTCACTTCAAAGGAGGCTCTATGTTTTTGCTTAGAACAAGAAGAACTACACTAACTTCTTGCCAGTTGTTGCGAACTTTCTGTTATAGTTTCAGGCAAAATAGAGGGTGTAGCTAGAAGAAGTAAAAGTAGCCCAGATTTTCCGAGAATTTCAAAGAATTTGGTTTATGTCTTTTTATTCTAATCTCTGCAAATATCGTGCTGTCTTAAGAGAGGCAGGAAAGGCGCAAACTTATAATAAGAGATTTCAGTTGATTTGCAGCTTTGTCACAGTCAAGTTGTTCTGAAAAGTTTTGAATTTTTCTCAAACGTCAATGCAATAGCAGTATATTGACAAGGCGGTCATTCTGATATTGCCATACTTAGCAGAGTAAAATACGAGAATAAGGAGTGCGGCTGCTCTAGTGTTTCAGTCTCTGCAAATAATAGAGTTCGATTTTTTCAAACATATTTTTACTTCAAAGGACTACTAGCTGGCTTACCCAGCTCCGCTCGACCCTATCAGTACACACTACAATAAATTTCCATTCCCATCCCTGTACAACCTTTCCCTGTGCCCACTTCTACATGCAATTCTCTGTCTGTGTTAGTAATCAACATGCTCACTTACACCCTGTGCCAACTCCCATCCCCGTAGCTCAAACTCTGCAAAAAATCGATAAAATCGATAAGGGCAACGGACAATTTTGAAAACTAATATTGCATTCGTAATCAGCATGCTCGATTACCCTCTGTACCAACTTGCAGACCCGTAGCTCAAACTTTGCAGAACAAATTGATAAAATCGATAAAAGTGAAAAGTGATTTCAGGAATTAATATTGTATTCGTAATCAGTATGCTCGATTACGCCCCCCCCTGTGCCAACTTTCAGCCCCGTAGCTCAAACTCTGCAAAAAATCGATAAAATCGATAAGTTCGATGTCGATCGATAACGAAAAGTAACCTATGACACCCCTCCCTCGGAGTGTATGCGTGCCAAGTTTGATCCGGATCGATTTAGACATAAAAATTTCTATTTGGAACATACGTACAGACAGACGTACATGCATTTTTTCATTTTATTTCATTCATAAGGCTGGGTTCATACTGATTCCCATGTTCTGGAACTGTTCCCGCACAGTTCTCGCACTGTGCTGGAACTGTGCGGGAACTGTGCGGGAACAGTTCCAGAACTGTGCTGCATGCGCTGCAGCCGCCTCGCACCGTTCTGAACGGCGGAAGTTGGAGGATTTTGACCGTTCTCAACGGTTTTTCTTCCAGATTTCGCTCATTTTGACCCTATTCCTCCACCCCGCTTCCCTTTTTGATCAGCAGAACTTCGAACTCGAAGCGGGGTTGAAGAATGAGCGCTTTTCTGCGCCGTGTATTCGGAAAGATGGGCTATCGTGCGATTGTTCATTCTGTCTTCGCGTTTTTTTTGCTCAAAACTACTTCATTTGTTCCAGGAAGCGGCTGCCTAGTTCCCATAGCCATCTGCCACGAATTAGGGAGTAGGAGAAATCCTGAAAGTGCATGAGTTGGAACTTGTCTCTTTTTGATGATTTTGGGCGTTCCCAGCCTTTTTCGTTTTTCCATGTCGTTGCTTCTCCGTTCTTTTTTTCTACCCCGCTTTTCCCAGTGATGAGAAAAGCTGTGAATTTGAAGCGGGGTTGAGAATTGAACGCTGTTCTGCTTCATGTATCCGGGAAGATGAACTTCGTGCGCTCGTCCATCTTCTCTGCCATTCTTGTTCGGGCCTACTTCATGTGTTCTAGAGACTTGTCTATTCCAATTTCAATACAGATGCGAGACTACGCAGCGACTTGTTAGTACACATGAAGTAGGTCTGAACAAAAATAGCGATGAGAGAATGGACGAGCGCACGAAGGCCCATATTCCCGGATACATGGAGCAGAATAGCGTTCAATCCTCAACCCCGCTTCAAATTCACAGCTTTTCTCATCACTAGGAGAAGCGGGGTAGAAGAAAGAACGGAGAAGCAACGACATGGAAAAACGAAAAAGCTGGGAACGCCCAAAATCATCAAAAACAAGAGACAAGTCCCAACTCATGCAATTTCAGGATTTCTCCTACTCCCTAATTCGTGGCAGATGGCTATGGGAACTAGGCAGCCGCTTCCTGGAACAAATGAAGTAGTTTTGAGCAAAAAACGCGAAGACAGAATGAACAATCGCACGATAGCCCATCTTTCCGAATACACGGCGCAGAAAAGCGCTCATTCTTCAACCCCACTTCGAGTTCGAAGTTCTGCTGAACAAAAAGGGAAGCGGGTGGAGGAACAGGGCCAAAATGAGCGAAATCTGGAAGAAAAACCGTTAAGAACGGTCAAAATCCTCCAACTCCCGCCGTTCAGGACGGTGCGGGGCGGCTGCAGCGCATGCAGCACAGTTCTGGAACTGTTCCCGCACAGTTCCCGCACAGTTCCAGCACAGTGAAAACTGTGCGGGAACAGTTCCAGAACATGGGAATCAATATGAACCCAGCCTAAGATCGAGGTGTTACGAAACAAGAACAACCAAGTGTTAGTCATACATAGAAGCCGCACAGTAACTAAAAAAGAACCACGTTATCTCCAGCCCAGTCTGGGCGACTTATAAAAGAAATAATGCAAAAATAGTGTAAAAAGCTTGCTATATATAGGACTAGCTGGCTTACCGGCTCCGCCCGGCCCTGTCAAAAACGATGAAGGTTCCATTTCTATCCCTGTACACCTTTACCTGTGCCCACTTTCTACGTGCAGTTCCCTGTTCTTGCTGTGTTAGTAATCAGTACGCTCACCTATCTTCCTCACCAACCCCCCAACCCCGTAGTTCAAACCTTGCAAAAAAATCGATAAAATCGATGAAAGTTATCGATAAGTGTGAAAACTAATATTGTATTCGGAATTCCCATGCCCCCTTACCCCCTGTGCCAACTCCCAGCCCCGTAGGTGAACTCTGCAAAAATCGATAAAAATCGATAAAATCGATATCGATTGATGACGAAAAGTAGCCTAGACACCCGCCGGGGCCTGAAGTGTATGTGGGCCAAGTTTGGTCCGGATCGGTTCAGAAATGGAATTTGCATTCGGAACATACGTTCACACATACAGACAGACATACAGACAGACAGACAGACAGACAGACAGACATACATACAGACAGACAAACAGACATACAAACAGACATTCAGCTTTATACAGTGCTGGCCATAATTATAAAGACACCCCTTGGTGCCACGTTTTGTCAGTTTTTTTAATCCATTGGCAAACATGCTAAAATGAAGATAAACAAACATTTCAAGAAGCATCCGATGCAGAATTTCTTCCTCTTTCCTGCTGAGCTTTCTCCGTTGTGTTTTGTTGGGAGAGTGACGAGATATTTGCCGGAAATTAAGGTTACGTCAGTGCGCACTCATGAAATTAAGAAGTACTGCGATTTTCCACACAAATTTCGTAAAAATTCTAAAAGACAAGGCGTAGGGCTACAAAAATTGCTTCTATTGGCAAAAGGTCTGCCCTATGTGCTGGTTATTAGGGTTCCTCCGAAAGTCTCAAACAAAAATTTTGAAAATTAGTGAAAGTTGGACGTGGTAAAAACGAGTGGTTGTAATTTCCGGCAAATATCTCGTCATTCCCTCAACAAAACACAACGGGAGTTTTGCAGCTGGAAAGAGGAAGAAATTCTGCATCGGATGCTTCTGGAAGTGTTTGTTTATCTTCATTCTAGCGTGTTTGCCAATGGATTGAAAAAACTGACAAAACTTTTGTACCAAGAGTGTCTTTATAATTATGGCCAGCACCGTATATAAGATTGCACATAATCTTGAGCTTGATAGACTCAATAGATTAGTACTCATGCCCCCTCGTTTGCCAGCACGGAACGATCTTTTTATAATCATAAAAGCAAACCGGAAGTTTGGCTGGTGGGTATACTGGCAAGCCCCGTCCACTCAGATAATCGCCGGGAGCAGACGGGCACCGGAAAATACGCATTGCTGAAATTTCGCATCGCTCGCAAATTCCAGGAAAATGGTCAGCGAGTTTTTGAGAGACCGCTTGTTGAATTTTTTTCCGCTCTTATCTTTTGCAGATATATTGATGAATCTTTGAGGAATCGAGAACTCAGCAAGCGCTCTTCCGAAAAGTCCTGATTGCTTTCCAAAAATTCCGCGGGGGGGGGGGGGTGCGAGAAATCAGCCATCTACTTTTCCGGTGCCCGCCTGCCCCGGCGATTGTCTGAGCAACACAGTCTGCTGGGGAGAGTACTGAGCTCCGAGGATTAATTACAAAGTTTCCAAATCAAGCAAGCGCAACCAGAGTCAGCAAACTGTTCAGAACTAGTCACAACTTAGCAGCCAGACTGGGCTCAAAATCACATGATTCAGTTCAGGTTAGTAGAAGAACAAGTTTAGCAAAGCAGGAAAAAAATAGAACATTTTGGACACATCCCTGATTACAAGTCAAAAACGCACATGGCTGACAAGAAAGAACATGAAAAGTGAATCAAGTTCCACTGATTGCACGACCAGCAGCCGGCGTAGTATTAGGTTGACATAAATTAACCAGGCCATAAAGTTGAGTAAGAGAAAAGTTCAAAACCAAGAAGGAGAACCAGAAAAAAGAGAAAAACACATGCACGAAAAGACTCGAGAAAGAAAAAGACCAATGAAAGAGAAATATTGAAGAGTTAGAACTTGCAAAGTCCAACTGAATAAGCTGCTCTTATTGAGCACCTGAATTTTTTTATCCTCGCATGTGTCCCGCTTACGCAGGGTCTGCTTTTCCTGTAAGACGTCTCCATGTCGTCCTATCTGAGGCAAGGTTTTCATCTATGCAGGTCAGGTCGGCCTTGATTCTGTCCATCCACCTCATCTTGGGTCTACCTCTGGGTCGTTTGCATGGCGCCTCCACAGCCAGGGCTGACTTCGTGATGTGACTTTCATCCCTTCTGCCCACATGCCCATACCATCGT